CCTGACTAAGTTGCTGAGGCTGGCTTTGAACTTGCAATCCTCCTACCTCAGCCTCCTGAGCAGCTGGGAATATAGGCATGTGTCACCATGCCCAGCCTCACTCCTTTATATTTGAGCAGGGTCTCTTTAAGTTGTTGCTGAGGTTGGCCTCAAACTTGCCCTCCTCCTGCCTCAGCCTCCAAAATAGCTGGGATTACAAGTGGGTATCTCTGAGTCCAGCTCAGTATTCTGATTTCTAGCTATAGATTAGTTTTGTCTCTTCTGGAACTTTATATAAATGCATTTGTGTAATATGTCCCATTTGGTGGCTAGTTTCTTTTGCTGAGCATGCCTCTTTTTTTCCAATCCATTTCATTGCGTATATCAGTAACTCACTCCTTTTTATTATTGAATAGGAATCCATTGTATGAATACACCACAGTTTGTTTATCCATTAACTTCTGATAGATACTAGATTGTTCTGTGAACATTCTTGTAGAGTTCACTTTGTGGACATATGTTTTCATTTCTCTTGAGTAAATTCCAAGGAGTGGAATTTCTGGGTCACAGGGTGAGTGTATGTTTAACTTTATAAGAAACCGCTGGACTGTTTTCCAAAGGGGTTGTACCATTTTACACTCCCAGTAGAAATGGAAGAGAGTGCGGCTAGTCTACATATTTCCAACAATTGGCATTTTGTCTTTTTAATTTTAACCATTTTAATGGGTGGTATCTTATTGTGGTTTTAATTTATATTTCCTTGGTGATTAATGAGGTTCAACATCTTGTTTGCTTCTTGGACATCAATATATATTTTGGAAAGTTTGTTCAAGACTACTACCTGTTTTTATTTTGTTGTTGTTGTTTTTATTTTGTTTTTTTTTAGAATTGGAAGTTGGTACAATTTTAGAATTGTTGCTGGGGGTTGAACCCAGGGTCATTTAACCACTCAGCTACATTCCCTACTTCTTTTATTTTCATTTGAGACAGGGTCTCACTATGTTGCTTAGGGCTTCATTAAAGTTGCTGAAGCTGGCCTCAAACTTGTGATCCTCCTGCCTCAGCCTCTTGAGTTGCTGTGATTACATGTGTATGCCACTGCACCCAGCTGTGGCATAATTATTAAATTATTAATTATTATTAAATTATAATTATTAAATTATAGGATTTTACATATGTATGTGTGTGTGTGTGTGTGTGTATATATATATATATATATATATATATATATTCCGAGTATAAATTATTTGTCAGATGCATGTTTTATGAATATTTTCTCTAATGTGATTCTTCTTCTTTCTTTCCTTCTTTTTTCTTTTTTTTTTTTAACTTTTGTAGAACCAGGTATTGATCCCAGGGCTTTACACATGCTAGGCACACAGTGAATGACATCTCCAGCCCTTTTTAAAGTTTTTATTTTGAGACAGTCTCTCTAAGTTGCCCAGGCTGGCCTCAAACTCCTGCCTCAGCCTCTTGAGTTGCTGGAATTACAGACAGGCCCTACCAAGCCTGGCTCTAGTGTGATCCTTAAAAACATTTTTAATGATGTCCTTTGATGTTTTTTTGTTGTTGTTTGTTTTGTGGTGTTGGGGATCCAATCTAGGGCCTCTCACACGCTAGGCAAATGCTCTATGACTGAGCCAGTCACCAGCCACTTTCTGTGACTTAAAAAGTTTTTGTCCTCCCTTGGTCACAGTGGTCATCTCCAACTTAGAGCTTTCTTCTGGAAGCTCTAAGTTGCTAGGTTTCATGTTCAGGTTGGTGACCAGTTCATATTAATTGTTGTGGATGGTGTGAGGTAAGGAATTGAGTTTTATTGTTTTTCTATAAGGTTATCCAGTTGTTCTTGCACCATCTGCTGAAGAATTTATTTTCCTCCTTGTGTATTTGTTGAAATGTTTAGGGTTTAAGCTGGGCGCAGTGGCTCACGCCTGTAATCCCAGCAGCTCCAGAGGCTGAGGCAGGAGGATCGCAAGTTTAAAGTCAGCCTCAGCAACAGTGAGGTGTTAAGCAACTCAGTGAGACCCTGTCTCTAAATAAAATACAAAATAAGTCTGGGGATGTGGCTCAGTGGTTGGGTGCCTCTGAGTTCAATTCTTTATAACACCCCACCCCCCGCAAAAAAAAAAAAAAAAGAAATATATTATGAGTGTTTGGGACTTTATTTTGTTCTATTGATTTTTTTCGTTTTTCCTTATCCCAATATTATCTTGATTGCTATAAGCCTATAAAATAGGTAGCATAAATCTTCCAGGTTGGCTGATCTTTGTCAAGATTACTTGGGCAATTCTGGTTGCCAGGGGTGCTTAACCACTGCGCCACATCCCCAGCCCTTTTTATATTTTTAATTTTGAGACAGAGTCTTGCAAAGTTGCTTAGGACCTCACTAAGTTGCCGAGGCTGGCTGTGAACTTGCGATCCTCTTGCCTCAGACTCCGGAGTCACTGGGATTACAGGCATGTGCCACCATGCCCGGCTCTTTGCATATTTATTAATGAATTTTAACATGAATTTTAGAGTTGGCATATCAGTTTTTATAAGAAAAAAAAGAAAGAAAGAAAGAAAGAAAAAAAGAGTGCTAGATCTTGATTGGATGGCATTAGGGAAAAATTAATCCCCTAACATTCGAAGCCATGAACGTGACTGTTACAAAGTGTGGAGGTCTGAGATTTCACCCTTCTTGCAAGCTGACAGGATAACCAGCCTTTCTTCTGTGATGCTGACAGAAGACAAGAGGCTTATGGTTGGAGATTCCCTGCCTGAGCTCCCTGTTCTCTTCCCTTCTGCCTCCCCCTGGAGTCCCACAGAGTTGACACAGAGTGGCTAGGGAGATGCTCCACACAGCCGGTGGTGTTTGTCAGGGCCCAGGGGCTTAAGGAACCTATTTTTTTTTTGAGACTTTTTTTTTGGGGGGGGTCTTGCTGTGTTGTCCAGGCTGGTCTTGGGCTCTTGGGCTCAAATGATCCTCCTGCCTCTGCCTCTTGAGTGGCCAGGATTACAGGCATGCACCACCACCCCAGCAAGGATCCTACTGTTTTATAGTACGCTGCCAGCAAAGCTGCTTGACCATTATCCTGGAGGAACCTTTTATCTTTATAATACTAGAAGCAAACAGACCTGCCCTCTGTTCCCAGAAGACTCTCTTGTCTTCTAAGTAGTTTGCTGTGCAAATATTCTTGAAAAGAGAATCCAGAATGAGAGCTCCCAGCCCTCTCTCTGCAGAAACTTCAGTGGAAAATCATTGTCTACTGATGGTATGTCTTTCTGTATTTGTAAGGGTCTTTTTTTTTTTTTTTTTTTTTTTGCTCCTTGTGGTACTGGGGATTCAACCCAGGGTCTCGTGTATGGTAAGCAAGCACTTTACTGATGAGCTAGGCCCCCAGCCTATTGTAAGTCTTTTTAAATTTCTCTCAGCTAAGTTTGATTTTACAGTATAAGGTCATAGTATCTTTCCATAATTTTATTCTTTTTCGGGGGGAGGGTAGTGGGGATTGAGCTCAGGGGCACTCAACCACTGAGCCACATCCCCAGCTCTATTTTGTATTTTATTTAGAGACAGGATCTCACTGAGTTGCTTAGTGCCTCACTCTTGCTGAGGCTGGCTTTGAACTCCCGATCCTCCTGCTTCAGCCTCCCAAGTCCCTGGGATTACAGGCATGCACCACTGCACCTGGCAAGTTTATTCTTTAGTTTTAATTTTTTTTTTTAGTTGTAGATGGACATAATCCCTTTATTTAATTTATTTTTATGTGACATTGAGGATCGAACCCAGTGCCTCACACATGCTAGGCAAGTGCTCTACCAATGAGCTATATCCCCAACATCCCCACTCCTTTCCCTTTTTCAAAAATTTTGGGACAGGGTCTTGCTACATTGCCAAGGTCAGCCTTGAAATCCTGATCTTACTGCCTTTCTTTTTTTTCATTTGTTGCACTCCGAGAACCTTTAGTACAAGGTTAAATCTAAAGCGGAAACAATGTAATATTTCACTGTCATACGGGGTGCTAGCTGTGTGCTTCTCAGGGACACCATTATTAGGTTGAGGATACTCCGTCTTGTTGCTAGTCAGGAACTGACACCTAATGGTGATAGGAAAGCCTCTGATAGTGGGCAGGTTGGCTGCAGCTTTTGTTCTGACTAGAATGCTCTTTCAAAGTGGGCAAAAGAGTTGTATTTCTTTTTTTTTTAAATATTTTTATGTATATTTTTTAGTTATAGATGAACACACAGTATATTTATTTTAATGTGGTGCTGAGGATGGAACTCAGTGTCTCAGGCATTCGAGGCAAGCACTTTTCCACTGAGCTACAATCTCAGCCCCAAAGAATTGTATTTCTAATATTTATAGATTAAGAAGATTCATTTTGTAGCTGCGTGCAGTGGTGCACACCTGTAATTAGCCACTTGGGAGGCTGAGGCAGGAGGAGTGCAAGTTCAAGAGCAGCCTGGGCAACTTGGCAAAATCTTGTCTCAAAATAACAAATACAAAGAGCTGGGGGAATAGCTCAGTTAGAGTCCTTGCTAAACATCAGAGATGCCCTGGATTTAATCCCATCACTGCAAAAAAATTAAAAAAAAGTTATTTTTCTTTTTTGGTACTGGGGATTGAACCTGCGGGCACTTAACCACTGAGTCACATTCCCAGCCCTTTTTAAAGATTTTATTTAGAGATAGGGTCTCACTAAGTTGCTTAGGACCTTGCTAAGTTGCTGAGGCTGGCTTTGAACTTGCGATCCTCCTGCCTCGGCCTCTGGGATTCCAGGCATGCACCACCACGGCATCCAGCTACAAAAATCGTTCTCATATTTGCCTTGACAGCCTCTTGCCAGGGTTCTGTTGACAGTGTGTTCTGATTTTTTTTTAAATGCTTATTATTATAACAATAATGACATTAAGGGGAAATTTTAAAATGCATCCATCATCCTCCCTCTCACCTGTTGGAGGAGAGAGCCAAGAGATGGACGCTGGCTCCATCCTGTTCGGCATTCCAGGGTCCCCCTTGCCACCCCTTGTCCACACAGGGAGACGACTTCGCGGGAAGGCGTTCTACAACGTGGGAGAGAAGGTGTACTGCCAGGAGGACTTCCTGGTGAGTCCAGGCTGTGCCCTTGGCCGTGCCATGGTGGGAGCAGGGGCAGGACTCCCTCTGACTCCCATGGAGGCCTCAGGCTAGGAGGCAGGTGCTGACTGGGCATCAAGTGCCCCTTTGTCATATGACGTCCTGCATCCTGTGTCCCCTTTACAGTACTCTGGGTTCCAGCAAACAGCTGACAAGTGCAGCGTGTGTGGACACCTCATCATGGAGATGGTGAGACCCTCCCCTAGCCTCCTGGGGCCCCTCTGACACTGGCAGAGTCTGAGGACCCCACCCTCTCACCTGTTCCAGACCTGCCAGGGGCTCAGAGTCACAGCCTCCCCCAGGGGCACTGCTGAGCCTTCCGCCCACGCTGACCCTTCAGTGCCTCCCACCCCCAGATCCTGCAGGCCCTCGGCAAGTCCTATCACCCGGGCTGCTTCCGGTGCTCCGTGTGCAACGAGTGCCTGGACGGGGTGCCCTTCACCGTGGACGTGGAGAGCAACATCTACTGCGTCAGGGACTATCACACGTGAGTGGCTGCTGCAATGAAGCAGGCGTCACCCGGGCTGTCACCCCGGCCATCTCCCTGGCCTCCCGGGGAGCATTTTTTAGGCCTGGCTGTCTGTGTTTTCCGTCCTTGGTCTGTCCTCTCTGACCTGCCCTTGAACACTCGGTGGCTGGGGCAGGCACGGATGTCTGCCTTGACCACTTCTCTCGGGCAGTTCAGCCACCAGCCGTGCCTGCCTCCGCCTGCGTGTGCCCTCTTCCAAGTGGCTGGGACTCTCTTAACTGCTCTCACCACTCCAGGGCTGGGCCTCTCCCCTGGGATGGGGACTCGAGTCATGACAGACCCCTTCTCCTCTCTGTCTGGGGCCCGTGGTCCATTCCCCTTGCTGCGGCTCCAGGCCCAGGCTCGGTCCTGTGCTGCTGCCTCTCCTGCGTTGGTCCTGGCCACCTGTCCCTGGTACTCAGGGTGGAGCCAGGTCTCGCAGAGGTCTCCGCCGGGGTGGACCAAACCTGGACTTTAAGTGGCACAGAACTCCCAGGAAGCATGAGCGAGATGGCAGGACAGAACCTGAGGGCATTCTGGAGGTGGGATCGGGTGGAAGGGAACTGGGAGCCAGATGAAAGGGCAGTACCCAGAAGGCATAGCGGGAGCCAGGAAGCAGCCACAGGAGGAGGGAAGGCCTGATGCTTGGGCCATGTCTTGGGGCTGGGTGGGTGGACCTGTGTCCTTTGCCTGTGGTCACACTGTTGGTCACTTCTGGTTTCCTTTATTCCTCCAGAGTTTTCGCACCAAAATGTGCCTCCTGTGCCCGTCCTATTCTCCCTGCACAGGTAGGAACCAGTCACCAGGAGACAGTCAGATGCTGGCCCCTGGCCTCTGCCCAGTCCTGCCTGTCCTGTCTCAGATCCTAGGCTGAAGTGGGAGGGATGACTTCTGCTCCACATCCCTCAGGGACACGGGACACGTGTTGTGCCCAAACACACGGGAGCAGGTGTCCTGGCGTGGAGTTCCAGGGAAGCCGCAGGCCCTGCAGCCTGGCTGCCCCATTCCTTCCCCGTCTCCTTTCTCCATGGAGGAAGGTGGCTCCTGGGTCAGCTGAACTCTGCAGGTTGAGGCTGGGTGGGCAGCAGGAGAGGCTGAGGGAGGCCCGAGCAGCTGCCAGCTTGGGGCACAGCGGCCGTCTCAGGGCCAGGCTCTGCCCCGTGAGCTGTCTGTCCCGGGCTGCTGCCTGGGAAAGCAGGGTTCAGGGTGGCCTTCCCTGCCTCCAGAAGTGAAGGTAACACACATCCACACGGACACCCTGTGACACCCCTGTGACACTCACAACACCTGTGGAGCTGTTGGCCATGGCAGTGGGGGGGCCTGAGGCACATGCACTGATGTGGCCCCGGGAAGCGTTGGGTCTGTGCCCGCAGGGTGGGGGTGCCGGGCCGGGTGATAGAGCACGTGGTGCAGACGGCTAGGTGTGCACTTGGCACAGTCTGCCTCCAGGTCCAGTGAGCTGCTCACGTGTCTGACACTCTCTTCCTCCAGGGCTGTGAGACCACCATCCGTGTGGTGTCCATGGACAGAGACTACCACGTGGAATGCTATCACTGTGAGGTGAGCCTGGGCCCCCCGGAAGGCCTGTGGCCGGGGTGGTCCCTCCTCTTCAAGTCTCCTTCCCCTCGGTGTTCTGCAGGCCACCTCCTCTTTACACTCCTGCTCCATTCTGCCGTCTCCTCTCAGCACCCCCCTTCTCTCCTCAAGGCATGTGCTCTCTCAGGCCCCCCCCACCTCCGTTTTCTCATTAAATCAAATATTTGCTATTTACAGTATGTGGGGTGCTACGGTTATGACAGCATTGACTTTTCCTGCTGATTTAAAAGATGAATAATAAGAGCCAAGAAGGCATTGAGATGGGCTGGGGCTGAGGCTCAGAGGTAGAGCGCTGGCCTAGCATGTGTGAGGCCCTGGGTTCAATCCTCAGCACCACATATAGATAGATAAAATAAAGATCCATTGATGACTTATAAAAAAAAAAAAGGCAGTGAGAAGGGCATTTCTAGGCAACAGAAGCAAAATGTGCTTAGGTACAAAGGGAGGATGGTGGTTTTTATGTCACCGGAGAAGTTAGCAGGAGCTGGGGACAAAATGACACAGGAGGGACTGAGTTGTGGCTCCGTGGTAGAGCGCTTGCCTAGTGTGTGTGGGGCACTGGGTTTGATCCTCAGCACCACATAAAAATTAAAAAAATAAAATAAAGGTATTGTGTCCATCTACAAATAGAAAATATAAAAAACAGAACAAAAGGACACAGGAGCCTAAGGAACCTGGATTTAGTCTGAGGACAATGGAGACAAAAAAGGAATGAGAAGGTTGCACTGGATTGCAGAGAAGACACACACTTCCATGCAGAGAATGGAATGGGGTGCAGTAGGGAGGTCCTGAGGAGGCTGCCAGAGTCAGGGCTGTGGTCTTGGGTTCAGGGACATGGACAGACTTGAGGAAGGCAGGAGAAGGGACTAGACTTGGGAGGTGATTGGATGCAGGAGTTCGAGGGGTGGGAAGTGTCCACCAGGACTCCAGCAGAGAGTGTGACAGTCAACTTTCTGTTGCTGTAACAAATACCTGAGACAATCAATTTATAAAGAGAAAAGGTTTACTTTTGGCTCATAGTTTTAAGAGTGTTCAGCCCATGATTGGTTGGCTGTGTCATTTGGGGCCTGTGGTGGCACATCATTGGGGGGAGTGTGTGGTGGAGCAAAGCTGCTCACCTTTTGGCTGGGACACAGAAGAGAAGGAGGAAGAAGCAGTGTGTGTGGGGTTCAAAGTTCTGTTGAAGGTGTGCCCTCCACCCGGGGGCGCTCCACCACCCAGCTGCATTCCCGGCTCTTTTTTAATTTTTTGAGACAGGGTCTTGCTAACTTGCCCAGGCTGGCCTTAAGCTTGTGATCGTCTTGCCTCCGCCTCCTGAGTGACTGGGATTGCAGGAATATGCCACTGCACCTAGACTTAAACCCGTTAGGGGTTCCGCTGCCTTCCAGTGGCACCGTGGGCTGGGCCTGGGGCCATCTAGGCTGCAGCAGTGAGGGCGACAGAGGAGGGATGAGATCCTCTCATTTTTGGTAGCTGGAGACTCCAGATGTCTGGTAGACTGTTAGATGTGCTGGAATCAGACTCCGCCAGCAGCTGTAGGAATTCCGGAGAGATCCGCTGTGGTAGGTCATCTCCTGGCCTCCTTTCTCTCAGGGATCACTGACTGCCTTGTTTGCTGTCGTGGGTCTGAGAGTCACTGTTCATATAAGGAGCCTGTTTTGTTTACAGTCAAAGTAGGAGGGGAAGCTGGACACCCTAGTGCACACCTGTAATCCCAGCAGCTTGGAGTTCAAAGCCAGCCTCAGCAGCTCAGCGAGACACTGTCTTTAAATAAAATACAGAAAAGGGGCTGGGGATGTGGCTCAGTGCTTAAGAGCCCCTGGGGTCCTTCTCTGGTGCCAAAAAAAAAAAAAAAAAGTTTGGAGGGGAAATCCATTTCTTATCACTCTGCCACAGGGGAAGGGGGAGCTTGTCAAGGGAACACACGTGGCAGTGGAAGCTGGGGAACAGATGAGGCCTTCCAGCGAGGGTTGTAGAGGGAGGAGAAAACCCCAGGAATACTGGTATTAAGGGGCCAGAAAGGGAGGATAGAGGAGTGGTAGGAAACCAAGGAGGGTACGTTGGTTACAGAGTCCCAAGGAGGGGGCACGGTCTGCAGTAGGAACAGTGAGGTGTTTGGTGGGGGCAGATGGCCCAGTGGGAGCAGAGTCCTGCTGGGGGACCCAGGAAGGAGGAGGAGGAGAGCTGTGGTCTCTAGAGGTGCTGTGGCTTCTCCTCCAGCACTAACAAGGCCTCAGTGTCCCTCTGTCTGCTTAGCCATCCCAGGGGCTCTAGAATCCCCCTTGGAGCCACTGACCACAGTCCTTGGACCGTGGCTGAAGCTGAGTAGCCCATCAGGCTGCTGGGGACGTGAGGACTGTGCTGTTGCCCCTGCCCCAGGCTGTGGGTGGAGCTAGGGGTCCAGCCTCCCTTCCTCCTCCCCTCTGGTGGGCAGGGGCAAGTAGCAGGAAGGATAGGAAGAAGACCTGCCACAGGAGTGACTTGGGACTTGGGGCTGTGACTTCAGGGCCTGGCCTGTGGGAGGGGGGCAGGTGTGGGTCTCAGAGGCTTTGGGTCACATTACCCCTCCCCCCTCTGGTGGGGCTCTAACCCAGGTCCCCTTCTTGCACACTAGGCTGTGTGACATACTCCAGCACTGCACCATGCCCCCAGTCCTTCTAAAGTCACTCTTAAGGCCGCTTGGGTCAGACATTCCGCGCCCCTGATGTGAAGTTGGAGCACTTCCTGCACACTGGCCACCCCTCCTCCCCGGCCCCTCCCCGGCCCCAGGACCACCGGGTTTGGTTTTCCTCGCTTGCATTTTCTCCTCCGGTCTCTTTTGCCTCTTCCTCTGCCGAGGCTCAGCTTTTTGTCCCCTCCCTCCTAGGGCCACATCCATCTACTTACTCTTGGTGTCCAAGAGGCACCTCCAGTGCGCACAGGGGTCCTTGTCCTGCCCCTGGCAGAGTGCCAGCCGTGTTGTCCAGAGCCTACCGATCTGTCCCCACTCCCTGACCTCCGATTGTCCTAGTTGTGCCCCCTCCCCCTTACTCTGGTGTCCCCGCCTGTGTTCTTTCCTAGGACTGCGGGTTGCAGCTGAGCGGAGAGGACGGACGCCGCTGTTATCCCCTGGAGGGCCACCTGCTGTGCCGACGCTGCCACCTGCGGCGCCTCGGGCACGGCCCACTTCCCTCCCCCGCTGTGCACGTCACTGAGCTCTGAGCTGGGGCGGGGTGGGCGTGGACGTGGGAGGAGGGAGGGTGGCCCTGGTCAGTGTCCCGTGGGCCCTGCTGCCGCTTCCACCCGCTCCATCCCACACCCGCCCAGCTGCTGGCCTGTCCGCAGGGGCCGGACCCCCGCGTTGAAGCTACTTCTATTTATTCACCGTCTGTGCCTCCCCAAGCCACTTCCCTCGGGTGCCCTGCTGCCTCCCACCTGCCCAGTCACCAGCTTTCGGTTCCAGGACTCCCTGTGCTCCTGCAGCCTCCTGGGCTGTGGGTCGCTGGGCGGGAAGGGTGGAGAGGTCCGCCTTCCTTGGCCGGGCTTCTCCGCGGGGAGCCACTTTCCTTGGTTCGGAAGGCGCCTGGGACCCCCTCCAAGCGTGCGCCCCGGGGTCGCAGAGGGCACAGGTCGGCTTGTGTTTCCTAAGTGCCTTGCCCGCTGGTGGGTGAGGAGGGTGACTTCTTTTTGTGGGAACATTGTGGGATTTGGCTATGGGGGCTCGAGGGTGTTTTCAGCCACAGTTTCCCCTGCCCTGGCCCCTGGCTTGGGCCTTGCCCCTCCCCACCATCCTCAGCCCCCGGTCAGGACCTCGCGCCCAGCTCCAGCCGCAGGTGGGGGCGAGGAGTGGCCGCGAGGGGGCGCACTGCGCGCCGGCCCGGGAAGCCCCTGTGCGCGCGCGCTGTGTACCAGGCTCCACAACAAACGGATGTGATTTGACTTAAATTAAGTTTTTCCTTTGAGGATATTTTCATTTTCTTTAAAAGAATATAGTTTTCTTGTAAGAACTTGGACTGGGGTGGTTATTTCTTAAAATTACAGCAGACTCACAGAGGTCTTATTTGTATATCACATAGCTAGATTTGGGGGTGGTAACAACATTGTCCTTTAACTATTTTTGTGTAAATTCCTCCAAAACCTCACAAGGTGTGCCTGCATTTCAGAACTTAGTGGGCAAAGGAGGGTGTTGTGTGTCACTGTCTTAAGAGCTGTGACCTCATAAACTGTGTTTTGGGGAATGTAGATTCGATTTTTTTCTTTGAAACACACATGAGCAGTGGGGCCCAGATTTTTCACTGACCCTTGATGTCGGTCTTACACTTGGGCGGGGATGGGGGGGCTCTGGTCATGATCAACTGTGGTTGGTTTTCATGGACTGTTTTGAATGAATCTGTTCACACACACACACACACACACACACACACAGCATTAGAGGGGAGGTCTCCTTGCTTGTAGAATCATTCATCTGCCAAGATTAAGGTGCTAGGAATCCCAACCGGGTGCACAGGAGAGGACAGCAGGGACAGTGACATCCAGCCCCGGAGGCTGGAGCTGGGAGGCCCCCTGGTGGGCGGGAGAAGCAAGTACATGGAAGTTTGATGGTGGCTAATAAGTTACTTAATGCAGTAATTAAGTTATGAGATATGGAGGTGTCCCTCCAGAGAAGGGGACTTCATCAAAACCAGAAGACTAAATCCCAGGAGTGCGAGGCTCAGTTTCTGGTGTTTGCTTCTTTTGGAGCCGGGTTGCTTTGCTGTCTTGCCAGTTCATTGCAAAGCTTTCTTCTGAGTGCCCTTCTTTGCTTCCCATTTCAAACCTGCTTTGGCCATGGTTTCTCCTTGTCGCAAACTCAGTCCAACTCTCTTCCTCTGTCTGCAGTGGAGGTGGTCCCTGCTCTCCAGCCGTGTGGGTCACCACTGCCCTCCATGCCCCTCCATCTTGGTTCCATGCTCCCCTGATCCAGGTGGACTGAGTCCCCACCACCTGGAGCCCCCATACTTTGTCAGGATCAGAACCAAGGCCATGCCTCAGTTCAGGGCACCCTGCCCTTTCTCTCTGGGCCCCATATGGCCTTATGTCAGCACTGGTGACAGCCACTGTACCCTACTGCAGAGCCACTGCCTGTGCAGTTTCCTCTGCCTGGAGCCACCGTGCCCAGTGCTCTCGTTTCTCATCACATCCTTCAGATCTCAGACACCCTGAAGTCAGGCTCCAGTTACTACACTCCAGTGACAGAATTTTGGGCCCCTCCAAGTTTATTTAATAAGAGCAGCATCTCCAGTCCATTTTCAGGAGTTATGTTGATTTGGGACTGAGGGAATAGTGTGAGAGCCTGGAAGACAGGCTGGACCCTCCCAGACCCACTTGTCCCTAGGATATCTCCCTGGCAACACCTCCAGCTGTGCCTTTGTTCACACTACTTTCATGTATCTGAGCAATAATTCTCTTGACATCCTTCTCCCCACTAGGTAGTGAGCCACAAGACAGACAGGCTCTGTCTTGGCCACGTTTGTCTCTGCAGTACCTGGTGTGGGGCTGGTGCTATGGCCAGAGCCAGAGGTGCTCTGCTTAGCCCCGCCCCCTTTGATTAGCATGCCCAAATTTAGTCTGAACTGTCCAGTGAAGGAGCCATAGGCAGCCTACAAAGGCCCAGGAGCAAGGGTTTACACAAATACTATGCACACATGCACATAAAATGTGTGCCCATTTGCCACATTGCAATATGTGTACAAGGGTGCCTTAACATGGGGCCTCTGTTCAGCACTCATGCTGCTGCTCTGTGTATGTGTGTGTGTGTGTGTGTGTGTGTGTGTGTGTGTGTATGAAGGGGGGGAGAGAGAGAGAAGGAGAGAGATTGAATATTTGAGACAAAATGAGAAGCTGTGAGGGAGCGGTCAGGAGATTGGGGGAGAGGATAGGAGACCGAGAGGTTGAGAGGGAGCCTGGGTACTGGAGAGAATGGTGTGGAGGGGGACGGAGGGAAAGGGAGACTGAACTCCTGCAGCGAGGCCAACAGAGCCTGGAAGCCACCCCCTTCCTAAGGGGTGGGTTTCCCCAGAGCCAGGAGATTTGGAAATATTTGGATGGGTTCTCGGCCTTAGTCACTCTGCTCAGGAAACTCCTGCAAATGGAAAAGGCCACCTCCTATAAGTGACCACAGCTATGGGGTGTGTATGTGTGTGTGTGGCTGCTGGGTCAACGGTGGGCTCTTGGAGCATCCTGGGTCTTGGGCATAAGGTGTCCTCACAGCCCCAGGGTGGGCAGGGAAGTGCTGCCCTCTGAATACACGACTCTCCCACAGATTCTACATCACCTGCCTGAAGTTACCTCTCCCACCCACCTGTCACGGTCACCTGTAGAACAGCCAGGTTGCTCCCCTTCCTGTGCCTGCACCTGGGCTCCTCCTTGCTCTGTCAGCCCTGCAGACCCTGGGCTCCAGGCAGAGAGAGGTCTGACATTCACTTACCCTCTTTGCTCTGGGGTCCCCATGTTCCAGTCGAGGTAGCCGTGCCAGTGAGGGTTTCTAGCTACCTTCAGCCAGGCTCCCTGCCTAGCCCCCGGCCGGGTATTGCCACATGACTGAACTGCATGGGCCTGAGCCAGAATGTGTCCCTGTGGCCAGAGTGGGGCCTTGAATCTCAGCTTGTTCCCGAACCACACTTTCCCACAGCCCTGCCCAGCTTAGCCTCCTCTTTCCACCTCCAACAATTTGTCCAGTCTGACCCTGGGAACTGGGGGGGCTCTAATGTGGGAGACAGCTCTCGTGGGCGGATGTGAAGGACCCCATGGCCAGGTACAGAGCTGGGAACAGAGTCTCCTTTAGAGTGCAGCAGTCAGGGCTGCCTGTGCACGTGGACTGGGGGACCTGTGCCTGCTGACCCAGTGCATGCAGGGGTCAGGAGCCACCAATGGTGGGGAGGGGGGGTGCGGAGAGGCCACAAAGCCCTGAGAGAAGACAGCAGAATCCCTGGGGAACCCTCATTGCTAGGGTCAGTGGGGAAGGGTGGCACTGACCTGTGGTTTGGACAGCTCCTTCCTTCCCACCCCCACTTCCCTTCCTCTTCCTTCTCTGTTCTTGTTTACAAAAACATGAAGGCTTTATTTTACTTGGTCTGACTTCTGGGCTGAGCAACTGGGTGATGTGTGGGAGTGCGAATCTACAATTCTGGTTTGTCGTGGAGACAGGCGGCACGAGGAGTGGGCAGTGGGAGACGTCAGTCCAGAGCTTAGGGGAGAGTCAGGGCCGAGTCAGCACCAGGGAAGGCAGCTGTGGCTAGAAGCATTTGAAGTTGAGAATGAGATCACATGGATGGAGGGTGAGACCAGAGGTGCTACGGAGGGCAGAGGGGACAGTGAGGCTGGGTGGCAGGGAGAGAAGGTCGAGTAAGGTGGTGTAAGAGATGAAGAGGGCTCAGGAAGGAAGGAAGCGGTCAGTCATGGGGCTGCTGAGAGAGGAGGAGCAGGGTGAGCAATGGTGTTGGAAAGACGGAGGTCACGGGCCACCAGGAATATGTGACAGCTGCTTCAGTGCAATAATGGCGAAGTAGATCAGAGGCCACTGAGATAAGGGGAGAGAAGGAAGTGGGGGAGAAACTGATTATTCTTGAGCATGTTGGGGAGAAGTACAGCTGCCGATGAGGGCTTTGGGGTTGGGTGAATTCTTTTAGGATATTGTGTTTGTCGGCTTTCTGTTACTGTGACAAATATTTGAGGTAATCAACTTATAAAGAGGAAAAGTTAACTGGGCATGATGTGTGCCCTTATAATTCCAGTGACTCTGGAGGCTGAGGCAGGAGGACTGCAAGTTCAAAGGCAGCCTCAGCAACTTAGTGAGGCCCTAAGCAACTTAGAGAGACCCTGTCTCAAAATAAAAAATAAAAAGGGCTGAAGGATGTGGCTTAGTGGTAAAGTGCCTCTGGGTTCAGTCCCTAGTACCCAAGCCCCCACCAAAAAAAAAAAAAAAAAAAAATAGAAAAGTTAATTTTGACTCACAGCTTTGGGGTTTGGTCCATGATTGATTGGCCCCGTTGTTTGGGGGCTCACGGCAAGGTGGCACATCATGGGCACAGTGCAGGGCAGAACTGCTTACCTCATGGCCAGAGAGCACAGAGAAAGAGGAATATCTTACTATCTGCCGGGTTTCTGTTCTCGCGACTAAAAGGCTCAGGGGTCACTCCAGTTAAACTGGGCTGACTGGGCTGCACGAAATAACCACACAAGAG